AAAAAAAAAAAAAAAAGAAGTTGAATCCAACACCTTAAACCATTACCTCAGAATGTAGACTTCTGAAATGTGTCAGGGATAACTTGAGCCAGAGACATTCCTAAGTGTGTACTGTCAGTTTCAGTTTCTATTGCTGGGACAGGGGAATGAATTTGGATGGCCTATTGGAAAGTGAAACCTGCCATGCTCAGCAACTAGGCACTAATTACAGGCACACTTTTTTTTTTGGTGGTGGGGGGGAGGGAAGACTGAGGAATTGAACCCAGGACCTCATGCATGCTAGGCAAGCACTCTACCACTAAGCCACCTTCCCAGTCCCCCAGCTTCTTTTGCTCAAAGTTAGTGCACTACCACTTGAGCCACAGCACCACTTCCACTTTTTCTGTTTATATGGTACTGAGGAATAGAACACAGGGTTTCATGCATGCTAGGCGAGCGCTCTACCACTAAGCCTTATTCCCAGCCCAGTACTTACTTTTAAAGTGTATTCATCTTTTGAAAGTCTCATCTATGTAGCTCAAACTGTCCTTGAACTTATGATCTCCTTTAAGGTTTCCCAACAGCTAGGACGTGAGCCAACATCACTAGTGCTAACTTCAATGATTAGATGCAGCCATGGCAGTAATAAACACAAGTTTATTAGTTTTTGTCACTAAAAAAATAAATGGTATCCTGATCATATATATATATACCACACAGCTTTATTTCTTGGTATGTCACCACAAATGGCTTCTGCCTTTCAGTCGCAGGGCCTAAGCTGATGGTTCAGATCGGGCCTAAGGTTGTGCGGTGGGAAACTGGCTCAATGTAACGCTACCAGAGGTCTGATCCGTTGGGCGAGTGAACCAAGATCTGACACGGCCTGGCCGGGGTCCACAGCCCGGTTAGCCGTATTTCAGAACAGTGCTTACCGGGACCAGAACTCAGCCAGAAACCCTCTCCTCCCGTGACCCGAAGGCTGACCCCGCCCCGTAGCCACACCTGGGTCCAGGCCATCGACACGGCCGCCACGGCCCCGCAGATGGAGCAGGCAGCGAAGAGCACGAACTCGACAAAATGCAAACAGAGGCACGCCATGGTGCCCGGGGCACCAGAAACCAGCGTAGCTGCAGCGAGCGGCGCCCGCGCGTCTGGCGATTGGCGCGCCTGACGTCACTTCGGGGGTGGGGCCTATTTACAGAGCTGTAGGCGGCCCGAGGCGAGACGCCACGTCCGGCGCGAAGTCCGTTTAGAGGCCGCGGCGCGGCCCCGCCTCACAGCGGCAGGTACAGCGAGTAGTCCGAGAGCGCCCAGCGGCGGGCCGGGCGGCCCGTGCGGCCGATCATGGGCAGCTTCTGCACGTAGCGGGACGCCGGGCTGGGCCCGTACGGGGCGGGGAACGCAGTCTGGAAGAGGCGCCCGCGGCAGCGCCGCCCGGCCTGCCGCCCCGCGATGATGAAGCGGA